CCATCTCCCTGGCTGGTCCCCAGGGGGCATCTTCCATGCCCAGTGCCAGCCTTGCCCTGTTCCTCTCCCGTGGCTTTCTGAAGACTTCAGTGCCTGCTGGGTATTTCCTGAGCGTTTGGTGGTGTCTGAGATAGCAGAGTTAAGCTCTGTAAATGTCAGTGTAATGGCTGGCAGGTGCCACCCACTGAAAAAAACTACTGACACTGGGGAATTGCGATATTTTGTGTGCCCATAACTTTTATTTTGTTGGCATCTATCTTAAGCATAAAGTTAAGCCCTTTCTCTTCTTGGTAGACAAGACCACAAACTGTTAATCTCAGAACAATATATTGCTTTGAACTTCAGCCACCTTTGAAAGCTGTTTTCACTAGACCTCGTTTTTGAATGAAAGTTGTAGTTAGCATGCATTGGTGCATTACTGTGGACGTCCTTTTTTTGTTTGTTTGTTTGTCCTAGCCTAAACATTGCAGCATTTCTACTCCACTGCCCGCTCTCCAGCCAAGCTCTGTAGGCATCACTGTAGTGTGGATACAAACTATGTTCAGACTGTCTGAAAAGGGTTTTGAGCATGGTTTAAAAACAGAAATGAGGTGAGCTGGATGTTGCTGGCTGCATCGTCATGTGAGAGTCACAACTGAACCAGTTAATAACATGATTTTGCGCCTGTCTGTGGGAATGGGGCAATCAGTGTTCAATGGCACACTGCACATTATTCTTGTAATACTGTTTTATATGGTTTAGCCATAGCCCATTCACCACAATCATGTTAAAATACAAATTCAGAGTTTTAAATGCAGTTTGTGGGCCACTGAGGAGGGCAGTTTGACCGACACCCAGTTAAATATATTTCACAATCTAAGTCCACACTGCCCTCTTGGTAACTAGTGCAAAAAAGCTTTGTGTTGAATGGAATTGTGGAAGAAGGTAAAGTAGCATCTTTTGATTTCTAGCACATCTTATCTAGATCTCTATTTTTATGAGAACTACCATTCTGGTGTGTGTTAAATAGTAGCATTTATTTCAACATTTGACACTCCGTATACATCTACAGTACTTTGAATGGTATTTGCATCTAGAATAATATCAGTAAATGCAATGTACTTCAACAGTGTGTGCATATGTAAATCTATGTTCTTGTACTAGGTTCAAATGGTTGTATATGCAGCCATACCAAATCTTTATTTATACTTGCCAACACAATGCCAAAAAGGTTGGATGGACTTGCTCTCTAGCAAATGCTGCAACCCCCCCTAAGCTGGATAGTGATAAATTTTGTTCAGCCAATGCTCGCTTGATATTTAAAACTATTCTTAATCAATATTGTGGTTTCAACATGGTTCTTTAAAAATGGTTGTTGAATGGCTTAAGACTTTTATAGTTGATATGAACCATGTTAGCCAATCCTAAAATATATTGCTTTCTTTAATATTATTTAAAAGTTGAAGTGTGAACAAGTCTTCTTAATAGAGATATTTGCATAAAGCATCCTGCTGCACTCCTTGGAAGTGATTAATCTCATTTGTGACATCACAACTAGTTTCTGTGGAAACAGTTGTCATCACAGAGGATTATGCCCCCAAGTGGGGCACAAACTGTAGGAAAAGACTAACTCTTAAGACACACACATATAATTGTCATGCAGATGTCCCTAGAAATAACAAGGAAGGCAAAAAATGGCACAAGAATTATTTCTAAACATCTTTTCGGAGCTTAACGCTTAAGAAAATGGAAAGTTGGGATTCTGTTAAGAATGCTGATGGAACGGAGGTGTGAAGGGAGGGGGTTGCCTTCAAAAATTTCTACTTTCTATCTGATAGCAGAAGGCACAATCCACACTCCTGAGCAACAGTTATATTGACTTAACCCCTGGTGTAGACTGTACTATGTTGACGGGAGGACTTCTGTGGTCAGTGTAGCTACACTGCCTCTGGTGGAGGTGGCTTAACTACACTGATGGAAGAAACTCTCCCGTTGGCATAGTAGCATCTTCACTGAAGTGCTACAGCAGAAACTACAAAACTTGAGAGGGAGGAGAGAAGAGTGTACAAATCTGTTGGTGTAAAGACTCCTAGGGCCTTGTCTAAACATGGAAGTTGAGGTGGTTTAACTTAAATTGGTTTTAAAACTGATTTTGTTAAACCAGTGCAGAAGATCATGGGTGTTCAGTTTAAACTTGTTCCTTATATTGCTAAAGCAATATAATCCAGGTTCATATTGTTTTGAGTATCCATACAGTCTTTTACACTGCTTTAACTAGATATATTTTAAGTCATACCTCTTCTCTCCAAGCATCATCAGCATGAAATTAACAATGCTACGGTTAGTTTCACCACTGCAATTTAGAACCTCAGTAAAATTGTGTCAAGAATTGACAGTTTTAGTCTGCTGCTGATACTGAAAGCTATGCCTGGCATCAGAGGCGAACATGGGAGTCATTTGTGTGGGAGGAGAGCCAGGAAGTTACAGGCCAGGAAGTTGTGATTTTGGTGGGGTTTGTGTGTGGGAAAGGAAGGAAGGGGAAGAGACAATAGCATCTGGGGTTCTTTGGGTTGTCTTACTACAGTTATGGGGGCCATTTCAGTAGCTATTTGAGCACCTCACAATCTTTAATGCATTTCTCCTCTGTGAGATGAAGTAGTTATCCCCATTGATAGATGGGAAACTAAACAGAGTGATTTGCCTAAGGTCACATCGAAAGTATGTGACAGAGCAAGGACCTGAACCCCAGTTTTCCAAGTCCTAGGCTTATGCCCTAATTGCTGGACCATCCTTCCTCATCCTTTTCTAACACTAATGAATCATTGTTTGATACAAAAGATGGAACCTCGAAAGAGAATCTAGAGAAAACAATCTGGAGGAATTGCAGCATCTTCTCCTTTTCCCAACAGCTGGAGTTGCTTGGGGATTTTTCCTTGAACCTCTGCAGTGGGGCTGTCTATCTTTTTCTGTATTGTCATTTCTATAGTATATGTCAAATTTTTCTAAGCCTTAACAAAGGGATGAAAAAGTCAGATAAAGATGTAGAATCAGACAACAGAATGAAAGGAAAGGAGAGATTGCTTCATTCTGGGAGGGGTGGGGGAAAGGAAATACTTTCTTTCCAAAGAGTATAACACATGGCCAAGGAAATAGGCTACAGAGGAAAAAGAGAATGTAAGGAAAGGTGGAGAAGAGGAGGGATGAAATGAAAGAAGGAAATCAAGATCTATTGAAAGAACAAAACAAAACAAAAAAACTTGACACAGTATAATGAATTTCAGAGCCTTTATTAAAGGGACACTTCTTAATTTTAAAACTTGTAAACAGTTTTTGTAAAACCTTAAAAACAATGGAAACCTTCCCACAATATTTAACAATTTCAACGAAAAGAGTGCTTTTAAACAAACCTCCCTATGTAGTGTTCTAAACTAAAATTTTGTGGTATGTTGAAACTGCATGTTATAAATAACCCCAGACTCTTATTTAATTATGTAAGCATGGGGAAAAAAACACAATCAAAATAAAACTGCAAACAAACAAAACAAAATCACTGGCAAAATCTCTCTTACTACTTTAGGAATTCTTCTCCTTGTATACAAGGCATTCTAGTAATTTCTTGTATAGGTATAGTCTGTTCAGTAATAGCTATTGTTCTGATTTAGTAGCTAAGTATACCTTTTTTTTTTTTAATACTAGTGGAAGCTTTTTTCCACAGGAACCAAAACTTGTAACAGCCTTCAAAAGTTTGTTTTTTTGTGTTTTTTTTTTAAAGTCTCTTGAATAGTTAATGAAAACAATAATATGATATTGGCTGGC